TCAGTGATCATTTCCTCCTCCTTGACTTTTGAACAGATGGTGACGCTTCGGCTCTTAAACCAGCAAGAGCAAGAGCGAGGAGAGAGCAGCGATGAAGAAGAGCAGCAGCCTCAGAGGCCTTCCCAGGAGCAGTCACTCTCAGTCCTTTCTGGGCGGTCTCAAGCACCCTCGAGTAGCGAGAGGCAGGAGTCCCCTGCAGTGCCATCTGAGCAGGTCATCAAGGAAGCTGACCCATTGCCTCCTCATGCCCTCCCCACTGCCCAGGATGATGTACAGAGAAGGAAAGGGGAGCCCTCAGAAGCAGAGACACTCTCAGAGATAAAAGCAGATTCCCTCCCAGTGGAACCAGCTCACATCCCCTCTCACAGAGTTCTGGGGCCCCCGACATCAATCCCACCTAAGCCCCCAGGCCCCGTTTCTGTGGATTCTGAGTGTGAAGAGACGCTTGCTGCCAGCCCAGTGGCAGCTAAGCCTGACCGCCCTTTGGGAGAGGTCTGTGTTGGGGAAGTAGCCCCAGACAGCCCATTGCAAGAAAGTTCCATGAGGCTGTCAGGGACGTCAGACCCCAGGAAGGATGAACCACTGACCTTAGGGACTGTGGGCTCAGTAAGGGAGCCTCAGCCTCCAGAGCACAATAAAGACGAGGCTGTCACTGGCTCTACTGGCCCCTCTGAGGAGCTATCAAGCACAGAGGCAGGTTCTGCAGCTGCGGAGGCAGCCCTCGGACCCAGCCATCATTCTCAGCAATCCAGGTGTGTTCCTCTGAGCGCAGTGTCGGGGACAGGGCAGCTCTGTCTTGTCCAGGGCTGGCAGTTCATCCCTCAGAGATGGGCTGACTTATTCGTTCATTCATGTATTTATTCAGCAATTCTATGTAGGAGCCTTGGTGGTGGGCACTATGATCATGATAGGCAAGGTGGATTTGGTTCTTAAATTTGAGGGGCTTACAGTCTACTGGGAAAGACAAGTGTATATATTATAAAAGTATGTAAGTGCCTAAATACAGAAACGGGGCGCTGTGGTAGAGAATAAAGAGGGAGTTGTACTATTTAAACAGGGTGGTTAGGGAAGGATTCTGAAGTAGTATTTAAACTGAGATCTGAGAGGAGCAATCCCTGCCAAGACGTGATTACAGAGAACAGCGCGGGCCAAGGCCCTGTGATAGCAGGGATGTGCGACAAGCAGGGAACTGAAGGACGGCACCGCGCGTAGGAGAGTGGTGGAAAACGGAACTAGAAAGCAGTACAGACCAGGTTCTCTGTGATTCTGTGCCACCGTTAGAAGTTTGGACTTTTAGTACAATGAGGACCTATTTAAAAGATTTAAGTAAAAGGATGATATTGTCTGGTTTATTTTGGTTTTTTTTTTTTTTTTTTGGTTTTGGTTTTTTTTTAGTTTTTTGCCGTAGGGTGCATGAGCTCACCAGAGTGAGAGACAGAGGAAAAGTGAGAAATCACCCCCGAGGGGGGATGACTACACTGTAATCTCTTCTCCATTCTCAGGATTTGGGGCACGCATGCATACATACCTGGTGTGATTTTCAAGCCACCATGTCTTGGACTTGAACCACAGTCATCCATGTGGGAACCCAGCACCTTCACCACCATGCCACCTGCTGGCCCAGATTTATTAGTTTTTGGGGTTTTTTTTTTAAGAATTATTTTATTTAAGTTTATTTATTATGTATGCATTTTGTCCCAGAGAGGGACAGAACAAGAGAGAAGAGAGAGGGAAAGTGAGAAAGCAAGCTGCCAGGTCTGGGACTCAAACCTCAGTCGGCCATGTGGGAGTCTGGCACCCTTAACCACCAGACCACCTGCCAGCCCCCAGATTTACTAGTTTTTTTTTTTTTTTGGAGAGATTTTCACTGTTGTGTGCGTGCGCTCCAGACAGACAGAGAGAGACATAGAGACAGAAAGCGAGAAATCACCCCCCAGGGGGGATGGTCACACTGCAATCCCTTCTCCTCCATTCTCCTCTCGGGATCTTGGGCACGCACGCACACGCGCCCGGCGTGAGTTTTAAGCCACCAGGTCCGGGACACGAACCGCGGTCGACTACGTGGGAGTCCAGCGACATAGCCATTACGCTAACTGCTGGTTCCCCAGATTTACTAGTTTTGAAAGACCAATCTGACTAGGTTATGGAGGGGTCAGCAGTACTAGAAGGCCAACAAAGAGTATGGGAAGAGATGTGGATGTGGAAGTGGGAGGAATTTGTGAGTGATGACCAGAGCTGTTTAGATTCCTTCCCCGGGGGCCCAGGGAGCCTAATAGCTAGTGGAGGCTGTGGTCTGGGGCCGGGACAACATTTTCTGTGACTTGATTTTCCTTCAGTCTCCCCGGGGATGAAGAGGATGAACTGTTTAAAGGGGCGACTCTGAAAGTTGCGAAGCCCAGAGCACAGCTGGAGGAGGAGGACGAAGACGAGGTGGTAAGGAAATCCCAGGCACTGCCAAGTCCAAGTCCTCACACCACCACCTGGGTGTCCTTCCCAGCGGGCTCTGAGAAGGGACACAGAGCCTGTTGGTGGCCCACACCCTGGACTCTCTGTGCAGGGCCCTGTGGGAGCAGGCTGGGGGCCGGGCGGGGACAGATCTGTCAGCGCAGTGGAGATGGTCAGGTACCACTCTACTCTTGCAAAAGAATCGTAATCTCTGTCCACAGAGGAATTTTTTCCACTCAAAGTGAGAAAAGTTGGACTGCTTAGTCCCACAGTGAAATGCTAAAACCTCAGGTTTCGATGTATCCGCTGGGATAATATTTATATTAGAATTGGAAAGGACTTTGGAGATCATCTTGTTGGGCATCTTTATTCATAGACAAAGAAACAGGCTCAGAGGATTTCCCTGAAGCCGCAGAGTGAGTTACAGGCAGAGCTAGATTGAAACCCCAGGCTCCTTTTTTTTTTAAAAAAAAAAAAAAAAAGATGTTTTTGCCATAGGGCATGAGTGCTCTCTGGAGAGAGACAGGCAGTGAAAGGGAAAGTTAGAAATCACCGCCCAGGGGGATGGCCATGCCACAGTCCTCCGTTCTCCTCCTGGAATCTTGGGCATGCATGCACACGTGCCCAGTGTGTTTCAAGCCACTGGGTCTGGGACTCAACCACAGTCAGCCATGTGGGAGTCTAGTCACATAACCACTGTGCCATCTTCTGCCTGCCAACCCCAGGCTCCTAATAAGACTGTCAGTCACTGAGCAGTTCTGGCTTACTCGGCCACTTTCCAAGCCACTGCCTTGTGTTGTCGTCATAGCACCCCTGGACAGGAATGGGCTCAGCACTGATAGCATAGCCCTGTTTTCTGAGCAGCAGCGAAGGCCAGAAAAGTAGGTTGCTGATAGAGCCAGGATTAGACCATGACTCTTACACCTGCTCTTCCTCATTGTGCAAGATTAAGATGTACGCAGGTGTCACGAGGCTGTTTTAACTGCTGTGATGGGAACTTCCCTCATGTGAAATGTGTTTGGAAAACACAGATGAGCTTCAGGCTCCTATTCCAGGGACAGAAATTGTTGGTATTAATACTAAAACCATCAAGTTAACACCTATTTTTTGGGTACTATGGAAACTACTTCAAAAATACTCTCCTTTTTTCCTCCATTAATTCAGTGAAGTAAGCAATTTTATTCTACTTCATAGCTCAGAGGACTAAGGTTCAGGAAAATTAAGTAACATAATTAAGGTCATATCGCTGGTTAACGTAGAACCAGAACTTGGGCCAGGACAGAACTGAAGCTGTGAGCCACCCTCAAAACTCCTGTATCATCAGAATTTAGAGATCACCCAGTTGATGCCCAGAAAGAAGAATGAAATCTGTTAGGGAAGGCATTAGCCTGGAGGCCTCTGTACACACCACGTGGCCTTCCCTGTGGCCTGGCCCCATGATGACTGATCCTGGTGGACATTAGCTCACCAGAGCAGAAAGGATCTTAGAGATCGTTTAGTTCGTGCCTGTCTCTAGCCTCAATCCCTGCTACCTCTGTGGATCCTGTTCCCTGCCAACCCTGAGGGGAAAGCTAGAAGCTCAAGTCATGACGAGGATGGAAGAGTCTCCTCCTTGGCCCATTAATTCCCTTTGTTCCCCCCTACGTGGTTGGAGGGAGCGGTGAGGGGCCGTGAGAGGCCAGTGAGAGTGGGGTTGTCAGAACGGGGACCCTGTGTTGTGGGCTTTCTTCATCTCCGGGGCTTTCCATTTGGGAGTTCGGCCTAGCTCCAAATGTGACCTTTTCTCAAATGGTGGGGCCACATCCAGAGGCAGCCCCAGCACAGTGCTCTCGAATGTGATTGTGTTCTTCCCACCCTCCTACCGCCTCCAGCACCCTCTGCTCTCAGGGCTACTCTGCTTCTCCTATCCCACCTCTTCTTCGATCTCTCTTTCCCCCCACGAAATCTGTAAGTTACCACATGAGGGGAAAATCTGTCATTCAGTATATGTGCTTCACCAATAAATAACAAAATTAGCCAAACAAGGTTGGTCTTTTTGTCTCTATTGAAAGTTTTCCTTCTCTGCATGCTTGACTCAGCTTATCTGGAAGCCTGGCTTGCTGGTCTTGGGGTTGGTGGGTCCTTTCAGTTCAACCTCCTCTTCTACCTGGAGCTGGGTCATGTTGGATCGCTTCACCTCACAGGCAGGAAGTCTAGCTGGTGCAGGGACAAGTGAGGACTGACTACTCTTTCCTGTTTTATCAGAGCATGAAGGGACGCCCACCCCCAACACCCCTTTTTGGAGATGATGATGATGACGATGACATTGACTGGCTGGGATGAAGACCCAGGAAACTGATGCAAAGGTCTCTCTCACCCCTGCCCTAAGCATGATTTTGCACAGCCAGCCCTGGTCTAGGTGAGCCACAGAGTGAGGCCAAGGTGAGCATTCTGAGGGCAGTAGTTCAGGTGCCTGCCTGCGTCAGCCCCCTGAGCTCCCCGCCTGAGCCGGGGAAGAGGAGCCTGAACCTGCTTCAAAACTGGTGTTTTCAGCACCCACTGTGGTCCTGGTCCCAGCCCCATCTGGAGGGGCTGGTGGGTTCCCTTCCAGCCAATTACCTACAAACGTCCTGCCCTCTTCCAAGCCTTTTCTATCTTCATTAATTCATCAACTAACCTGGGAGCCCTCTCCACATGCCTCCCAGGACTCAATGTGCCCAGCAACGAGACCTGGCACCTAGAGGTGTCTCCCTGGCAGAAAGAGGGGAGCGTATACCTTCTCGGTCCTGTTCAGTGCACAGCCTTGCCTGTAGTCCTGGGACACAGATCTGTTTCTCTGCCTTAAATCTGATTCAAGAGGTCAACGAATATTTGCGATTAACAAAACTAAAATAAACGACTACAATGAAACGACTGAAATTGAATTCTCCCTAAGGGCTGTCTGGTCTCTTTGGGAATCTAAGGGAGGAGTTGAAACAGAACCGGGTCAGTCAGTGTGCACTAGAGCATTGTGATATATGCCCTTTGGGACCTAACCCTGGAACATTCAGGCCTTCAGAGAAGTCACCGTTCTGCTGTAGCAGCTCATCCCGGCAGTCGAAGGCTCAGGACATTGTGGTGACGTGAGGGCCCATCCTGCCGTCTGTTTGCTCCTATGAGCTTGGGCCTGTGTCCTAGGAAACTATGCAGAGGTGGGAGAGTCCCTCCTTTCCATTCTTCATGACACCTGAGAGAATCAGTTTTTTTTTTTTTAATTGAACTTTATTTTATTTTAATTTGACCAGAGAGGGACACAGAGAAAGAAAGTGAGAAAGAAAGCCACCAGGTCTGGGACTCAAACCATGGTCAGCCATGTGGGAGTCCAGCGCTCTTAACTAGCACACCACCTGCTGGCCCAGGGAATCTTCACTTTGAGAGCAGCTTCTTTTTTTTTTTAAATTTTATTTATTCATTCATTTATTTTTAATTTGATAGACACACAGAGAGAGAGAGAGAGAGAAACAGAGAGAGACAGAAAGAAAGAGGGGAAGTGAGAAAGTAAATCACCAGGTCTGGGACTCGTACCGTGGTCAGGCATGTGGGAGTGTACAGCTCCTTAACCACCATGCTACCTGCTGGTCCCTGAGAGCAGCTTCTATTCCCTTTGAATTCAGGAGGCCAGAGCTAATGCAGAAAATAACAATGAAGAAGTATCTTTGCTCATTTTATGTATCCTAGGAGCTTCCAAAGACCACCAGTCATCAAAACAAAATAATTTTAATAAAAATGTTGCCTGATTTTAAATATACACAAAATAGGAACCAAGTTCCACTCCATCTGGCCAGACATCATCCTTGCAGGCTTTATGTATGTCATGTGTGGGCCTAGTGGCAGTGAGAACTATCAATTGTTAAACTTCATAATTTAACACAGACACCTCTATGTGGCACTTTATCAGACTGTATTATTGCCAGTAACCCATGTAGACAACGTGGTTATCCCCGTTTTACAGGAGAGAAAACTGAGGCTTAGAGATCAGTAACTTGAACAGCAGAACAAGGATTTGGGCCTCTGATTCCAGGGGCTGGGTCGTGGCCAGCACAGCAGCGTTCCCTACCTGACATCCCTGGGTTGGGAGAAGGTGGCGTTGAGAAAGGCAGGCTCCTGGGCCAGTCCTTGATCTCTTGAAACAGAGATCAAGGTGCAGGCTCTTGCATCTTTGCCACCTGCAGTCACATCCCTGCGCTTCTGGGCACTGTGTGGCCTCAGCCGGGTAACTTCCCCTCTCGGCCTTGGTCGCCTCATCCGAGCCGATGAAGAAGCAGACGCCAGGTCAGGCCTCCTGGCTCCGAGGCCTGCACGGCCACTACTAACTTCTGTGTGCCTCAGTTTCCTCATCTCTAAGATGAGGACAGAAAAGGTCTACCTTGTCGTGAAGATGACATGAGTTACTATCTGTAGAGTGCCCGGAACACTGCCTAGCACATAAAAGCAATACACAGGTGTTTGTTAAATTAAAACTTTTTTTGAAGTAGGGAAAATCCTGCTTTGTGTGACTCGGTTCTGAAATAGTTGACATGAGAACAATGGATGAGCGTACTGAGGGTCCACTGAGTCTAACCACGAAGTCACTGTCTCTACAGCATAGATGTAGAAAGAAATTAAATTCTTTGTGCTATGAAGGCTACAGATGTGGGGCTGGATGGCAGCACAGTGGTAAAGCAACACTGAGGCTGACCTACATGGGAAGGTGCTGGGTTTGAGTGAAGCATGTGTGCTGTTGTGATCCAGGGGTGGCTGAGGCTAGGGGTGAATCACAGCATCAAGGCCCTTTTGGGGGTGCTATTTCTCTCTGTTGCTCGTGGAAGAAATACATTTTTTTAATGGCCACAAATGTATTACCATATGAATTTTTTTATTTAATAGTTTTTCAACCATACATTGTGCATACTCACCAGAGAGCACTCCCCAGGGGTCATCATTACCAGGCAGTCCTTTTTTCTCCACGCCTTCTCCCCATCAGGATCTTAGGAACATGCACACGCACACACACACCCCATATTCTTCAAGCCACCAGGCAAGACTTGAACCACGGTCAACCATGTAGCAACTGGCTTGCCATGCACAGCACTTAGCCACTGTGCTACAGGTCCTGTATTACCACATTTAAAGAGACTTGCCAAATCGAAGAGGTTGCTGATCATCCACACGGATGCCCATCTCAGCAGTACCCCTGGGAGGGAACCTTAGGTGGTGAGGACTTACAGATGGACTGATGGAACTCCATCAGTGAGACTACACTGGTTCGAAATCTTTCACCCGTGGGGTCACTCTGCAGCTTTCCAAATCCCTGCATCCGTGGGGAGGGTACACCAATGACCGCCAAAGGTGTCACATCCCTGTACTGTCCGTAAGTTCTTATTGTAAGTTACAGTGTAGTTATTATATTTTTGCTTCTGCCCTCAGGGAGGGAAGGTGAAGGTGCTAATCGTGTGGACATGGGTGTTTATAGTCCTTGCTTTTCTTATAGCAAGCGCCCCGTGAGCCCTGGTTACATAAATGAAAGAACCGGGCGTCTGCGTGTGGACACAGCATTTCAGAGTTAGGTCTCCCTGACTACAGAGGGGTCTCTGTAGCACATGGGCAGACTCGGTGCTCAGGCTGCCTTCTAGAGAGCAGAGCACCAGTTCCTGTCAGGCCCTGCCGTTGTTCTGAGGGTTACCTGGGCTTGCTGCTTGGGTGATGAAAAACAGAAGACAGTCACAGACCGTTTACAAATACATATTTATTAAAAAGTGTATTAGTTCCCAATGCGTAACACCATCTTTTCCTCTAGCCTGTGAGGTACTTGAACATAAACATCATATGCAGCAGTAATTTTCTCTCCCTGGGTTTCTGTGTTTTATAAAATGAAGAAGTTCCAATACCCAGAATCCCATCTCTGAAAATGTATTGGCTTTGGTTTGACTGCTTATTGCATCATCAGTCAAGTCCCACCCCGACCCTCCATGGCTTAGTCAGTGTTTTAGGTAAAGGAGCCAATGTTTCTTCACCGGGTCATTCCAAGTGAGCAGTAATCCCAGACAGCATTAAGTACTGGATATTATTCAATGTAGTTTTCTCTTCTGCATAAATGCAGGATCAGGATAAGAGGCATTGAGACAGTGAAGAGCTTCCCAGAGACCAGGGCATTAGCTGATCTTCCTCCTGCAGGTAGCCACGTCTGACTCGGGGGCGGGGGGGGGGGGGGGGGTTCCCACAT